GAACTCCAAAATTGCACTCACTGCTGAACAATCATTAACAGGAGAAAGTTGGATCCCACCAAAAAAAGATACCCCACGTCCAAGGGCAAAGGATAAGCCCCAACAAGACGGTGAAAGTTGCTCAGTTGTGTCCAACTCTTTGCAACCCCATGGAGTTAGTCCATGGAATTCTCCAGGCCAGAATACTGGAGTGGGTAGCCTTTCTCTTCTCCAGGGGATCTTCCCAACCCAGGGATCAAACCCAGGTCTCCCATATTGCAGGCGGATTCTTTACCAGCTGAGTCACAAGGGAAGCCCAAGAATACTGGAGTGGGTAGCCTATCCCTTCTCCAGCAGATCTTCCCGACCCAGGAATCAAACTGGGGCCTCCTGCATCGCCGGCGGATTCTTTACCAACTGAGATATGAGGGAAGCCCATCAACAAGATGGTAGGCAGGGAAAAAGTGCATTTAAAATCAAACCCCAAGGGTGAAACAGATCACCAGCCCAGGCTGGATGCATGAGACAAGTGCTCAGGGCAGGTGCACTGGGAAGACCCAGAGGGATGGGATGGGGAGGGAGGCGGGAGAGGGGATCGGGATGGGGAACACATGTAAATCCATGGCTGATTCATGTCGATGTATGGCAAAAACCACTACAATATTGTAAAGTAATTAGCTTTCAACTAATAAAAATAAATGAAAAAAAAAGAAAACCTGAAAAAAAAAAATCAAACCCCATACCTGCCACCTCTCTTTACCTTTCCATAAAACAGGAGGACATAGGCCAAATCTCTGTAGTTCCCTTACAGATTGAAATCCAGTGCCTCTCTACTAGGGTCTGATTAGTAAATGTGGACAGTAAGGGAGGGGACTAAAGGGGGACTAAAGGGGACTAAATCATCTACAGGTGCTTTTGGTTGGATTGAGGTCACAACAGACCCAGCTGCAGCCAGCAGGGGTGTGTGTGCATGAACATGACAGCCCAAATCCAAAGCTGTGGGTACTCTGTGAAAACCAAACTCTTGGAGACCACTGGATGGCAAGAATCCCTCACCCACGTCCATAGTTGACTGGAGAAAATTATAAGAAGTTCACAAGCAACCTTTTGAGTGACTTATATCCTACTGGTAAGGAAGGAGAGTCTCTTGGACTGCAAGGAGATCAAACCAGTCGGAAACGACCGAGCGACTGGAGGAAGGAGAACAAGCCAGACAGGAATTCATGGGGTCTTTGCTGAATGCAAGGGTATGGAGGGGACAGAGGATTATTACAGCCCCTTATCTGGCATTCCTTGCCCATCATCATCTTTTCAGACTCAGCTTTCCCACTACTGCCCTCTCCCCCATACACAAGTCCTCTGCAGAAGAAAGAAAAAAAGAAGTTTCGAACATTTCAGTCATATTTTTAAGATTGTTCTTGATTATCAAGATCTCCATTGGCAGCATCTAGCAAAAGCCCTGTTGATCCTCAAACAGAGATAACCATGGCATAACTTGTCTACTTTGGCCAAAGGCATGACTATTCTTAAGGAAGAAAGCAGAAGAGAACCTTTGAAACGAGCTTTTAAAATGCAAGGGGACATCAAAGGGAAACTGAATCAATGATGCTGCAATAAGTTAAAGTTGCAGGTCAGTACTCTAGACTGGCGGATCACAGCACACTTTTTTAATTTTCCCAGGTGGTTCTCTCCCTAAGGTTAAGTGGCCTGAATCAACTGCATTCTTTCCTCTGACTCAGGCATTATATGGAACCTGGCCCTTTGCTGATCTTACGGAAGACACCGCTCATCTAGGTCGAAGTCCCATTGTTACAAAACTGCAGACGCCAAAAGCAAATCCACTGGGAAACATCTCATTAGATGGAAGCCTACATAAAGGCAAGGTTTGTAACTACGTTTGCAATCACTGTATCCAGTGTGCCTAGTTCAGTGCCTGCCACATTGCGGGTGCTCAGTAAGTATGTGCTGAATTAATGAAGAAATCCACTACAGATGCGGGCCTGGGAGAAGCATGCATAGTTCAAATTTGATGATTTCTAAAAATACTTTGTTGTTGTCTTCAGTTGCTAAGTCGTGTCTGACTCTTTGCAACCCCATGGACTGCAGCATGCCAGGATTCCCCGTCTTTCACTATCTTCTGGAGTTTGCCCAAATTCATGTCCATTGAGTTGGTGATGCCATCCAACCATCTCATCCTCCGTCACCCGCTTCTCCTCCTGCCCTCAATCTTTCCCAGCATCAGGGTCGGCTCTTTGCACCAGGTGGCCGAAGTATTGGAGTTTCAGCTTCAGCATCAGTCTTTCCAATGAATATTCAGCACTGATTTCCTTTAGAATTGACTGGTTTGACCACCGTGTTGTCCAAGGGATTCTCAAGAGTCTTCTCCAGCACCACAGTTCAAAAGCATCAATTCTTCAGTGCTCAGCCTGCCTTGTGGTCCAACTCTCATACCCGTACATGACTACTGGAAAAACCATAGCTTTGACTGCATGGACCTTTGTTGGCAAAGTGATGTCTCTGCTTTTATATGCTGTCTAGGTTTGTCATAGCTTTCCTTCTAAGGAGCAAGCATCTTTTAATTTCCTGGCTGCAGTTACAGTCTTCAGTGATTTTGGAGCCCAAGAAAATAAAATCTGTCCTTGCTTCCACTTTTCCTCTTCTATTTGCCATGAAGTGATGGGACTGGATGCCATGATCTTAGTTTTTTGAATGTTGAGTTTTAAGCCAGCTTTTCCCACTCTCCTCTTTTACCCTCATCTATTATTTCATTTAACAGTCACTGAATATTTTCTGTGTGATAGGTACTAAAATACAGAAATGAGTAAGGTGGTTGCCAGTTCTCAAAAAGAAGACTGGAACAATATTCACTGAGTGCTACTATAAGCTAGGCACTTATTATTCATTATTTCATTCTCCCAATAACTGTGTGAGGTAAATATCATTACACCCCCCACTCACCTTTTTCAGATAAAGGAACAGAGACATGAACAAAAGCCTACATCCAGCAAATGGCAAAGCCAAGAATTAATTCAGTGACCTGGATACTTCCTTTGACAATATATTTTCTCTTCAAAGTAAATTTAAAATCACAGTGTGATGTTCTTCTCTATGTGATGTTTTGTTAAGGAAACTTAAGTTTTTAAAAACTGAGTTACAAACAAGTTTTCCAAGTTTCATTTGGAAAAAGAGGTTTAAGCTCTAAACTTCAGGTTATTTATGTTGGAAAACATTCCAGTAATAGAGGTGCTTTATAACTACATGAAGGCTTGAAGGCTTCACGTAGTTGAAAGCTAAAAATAATAAATTGCTTGAACAAAATAAATGAAAATTACTGAGTTAAGTCCTGAATAGCATCTAAGACCTAAGTCAGTGAGTTTCTAAATTATAATTATCATAACTCATTGTTCGGGTAAACAAAGCCCAATACTGAACTAAGATAGCTGAATTCAGAGTGAAGGGCAGCACAGTTCCCACTGCCAACAGTGAACAAAAAGGACGTGGAACTGAGAAGCCGCCAGCTGCTCCTCTGTGCAAACAGCTTCCTCCCGGGACCCTGGTGCTTATTCCCAACTGCACTTGAATTGTTCGGTAGATATTCATAATACGAACTGTGATCCCTAAGTGATGTATTATGCTAGATCCTTTTTGCTTTATAAATGCACAAACAGGAGGGAAGCCTGAATTGGGAAATGAATTCTTAAGACACAAGAGCAACTTAGAGAAATATTCAAGGTCAGGCTGTCTTGTAGGGATGGGATGCCCATTGTACAGGTGGCCACCTGACCTGCACATCTGAGTGTCAGAGAGAGACTTCCGGGTCACCTGTCTCCCTGGGTCCTAAAGCAGTTTGGGGAAATCACCATTTCTTCCCAACAGATTGAAAATACACAGGACCTGGAATCATCTGTCCTCATAACATGGGCAGAAATTTTGAAAGCAAGTTATTCTCACCTACCCTTTTTGGATCAGATGAGGAACTGGGAAAACAGAGATTCATGATCAGTCCAAAATTCCAGCAGCTCAGAAAGTGCCCGTGGTGGTGGGAAACGGTCTAGGATAGGCAAATTCTTCAAGTATATGGCCCAATCCTAGTGCAGTCATGACCTGTCTTACATTTGTGTCATGATTTCATAACGACTCTGAAATTGAAGTCATATTCTTATATTTACAGATGAAGAAACTGGAGATGAATGAATCAAAGCTAGCAACCATGAGAGTCGCTCAGTCATGTCCGACTCTTTTGTGACCCCGTGGACTGCAGCCTCTCAGGCTCCTCTGTCTATGGAATTCTCCAGGCAAGAATACTGGAGTGGGTAGCCATTCTCTTCTCCAGGGACTCTTCCCAGCCCAGGGATCGAACCTGGGTCTCCTGCATTGCAGGTGGATTCTTTACCATCTGAGCCACCAGGGAAGCCCAGCAACCATCAGAGTAAGAATTAAATCTTGAGTCTTCCTAATCCACATTGAGTAACAGACTTTTCACCACAAACCTAAAGCATGACCTCAAGAATATGTGTTGTAGGAGCAACGACTTTGGAGTTAGACCTGCACTGGCCTATCTAGATGTACCATTTTTTAGCCATATAATTAGGAAAGTTCTTTAACATCATGAAGCCTTAGTTTCCTCATCTGTAAAATGGGGACATGCATTACACCTAGCTTGTGGAGTTATGGTGAGGATCAAAGGCATATCATATGCATATAGCACACTCAGCATAGAAACTGACCCTGATTAGAGCCAGACAGATGTTGAGGGTTTCAGGGTCATGTTTAGAGCACGGACTCTGGATGAAGGAATCTCCTTTCCTCCTCTGTAGTTTAGCATGCCTTGGGGCTTAAAACCCTCGGGGAATATTTTATAGTATCGAAAGCCACAAGAAGATAAAAACTGGACACAGGCAGCGAGTGCTTGGGCCTAGAATGGGTGCGGAGGATGTCCACTGTACAGGAAGTGCGTCTGTGTCTCCTCCCACACTGCTGTCCGAGCCAAGTCCCTGAGAGTGAGGACCCTCCATTCCCACCTGGAAAGCCATGGAGTTGGCAGCAGCCAGAAATATCCTCAGGGGCAGCTTGGCCTTGTAGGACCTGTGGCTCCACAAACGATGGGCACCAGCTGTCACGCCCAGAGCAGTCAGGAGGAAGCAGAAGTAGGCTGCAAGACACAAGCAAATACAGAGTCAGCAGGTGTCAGAGCTTTTACCCTCCCCCCAGCTTTTCTCTCTTCCGAATAGGGACCCATGCGGAATGGTGTCAGAAGCATATGCAGCATGAAGAATCAATAACTTGGGGAAAAGGCAGACTTTTTTTTTTTTTTGGTTTTTAGCTTTTCAGTACCAGAGAGACATAGAGAGACTTTCCCTAAGAAACTGGGAACTTGGAACAGCCATTTTTTCTATGTCAAAGGAATCTATTTCTTGCCAGTCTTGATACAAAATCACAGCCCTATTAGTGTGCATTTGTAATTCTTATGTGTCCACACTCGGTAGAGCTGAAATAGATCTCTAATCTTGCTTCTTAATTGGCACCCATGCCAGGACGACTCTTTTAAATGGCAGTGCCCATTTTCAGGGCTCTTCTAAATGGTTTGAAGGAACTCAGGCCAGACCTAAAAGCAATGAAGTCTGGCTCAGGGCCAGTAAGAATGAGACTAAAACTGACATCAAGGACAGCTGAGATTTGTCTTCTAGCACTCCTCACTTATACCATCACTATCACTATGACTGGGCTGGTAGAGATGGTCAGGTGGGGATCTAGTTATTTTTTAAAAATTTTATTGGAATGTAATTAATTTACAGTGTTGTGTTAGTTTTAGGTATATAGGAAAATGAATCTGTTATGCACATACATTGATCAACTCTCTTTTAGATTCTTTCCCCACATAGGCCATTACAGAGAATTGAATAGTTTCTGTGGTATACAGTAGGTCCTTACTAGTTATCTATTTTATTTATAGAAGTGTGTATGTGTCAATCCCAATCTTCCAATTTATCTTCCCTCTGCTTACCCCTCAGTAACCAGAAGTTTATTTTCTATATCTGTAATTTTATTTTGGTTTTATAGACAGGTTCACTCATAACCTGTTTTTTTAGATTTCATATATAAGTGATACCATATGATATTTGTCTTTTTCTGTCTGACTTGCTTCACTCAGTTTAAGAATCTCTAGTTCTATCCATGTTGCTGCAAAATACATTATTTTGGTCTTTTTATGGCTGAGTAATATTCTATTGTATGTATGTACCACATCTTCTTTATCCATTCCTCTGTTAGTGGACATTTAGGTTGCTTCCATGTCCTAGTTATTGTAAATAGTGATGCAGTGAACACCAGGGTGTATGGATCTTTTCGAATTATGGTTTTCTCCAGATATATGCCCAGGAGAGGGGTTGCTGGATCATATGGCAGCTCTATTTTCAGTTTTTTAAGTACCGTCCATACTGTTCTCCATAGTGGCTGTACTAGTTTACATTCCCACCAATAGTGTAGGAGGGTTCCCTTTTCTCCACACTGGGTGGGAATTTTCTTAAAGTCAACCTACAGTGGAGCTTATTATCTGCCACACACTTAAATATATATAGTCCTCATAACATGTGTTAGCATCTCATTTTACAGCTGAGAAACTAAATCTCTGAGTTAACTCCTTCATATAAACCAAAGTCAGCCTGGTTCTAAAGCCTGTGCCCAGAGACCCCAAGCTGACCCCACGTGGTGGTGGTGATTTGTTCTTTGTACAAGACTTGGGAAATGTTGAGTGCATGGTAGAAAGGAGACGAAAAATCACAATTTCTGAGATTATTTTCCTCTAGTAGTTTTAAAGCAATGTTCCCACAAAATGCTAAATGTCTTACTTGAATTATCTTATTAAAACACAGCAAACAATCCTTATAGGTCTATATTATTATTGGGTCAAAGGCTTAAAGAAGTTAACTAATTTCCCAGTATCACAAGGTTGGGGAGTGTCTTTGCCAAGAGTCAAACCCAGAACCAAGAACTGAGTGCTGGCCCTCTATACTTTCCTTTGCCTCCAGGAGACATCAGGTAGGTTTTATCTTCATTTCTCTACACCCTCCTGGAGAAGGAAATGGTAACCCACTCCTGTATTCTTGCCTGGAGAATCCCATGGACAGAGCAGTCTGGCGGGCTACAGTCCCTGGGTCTCAAGAGTTAGACACGATTTTAGCGATTAAACCACCACCAGCACCTCTACGCCCTACATCCTTAACGCATGCATGCTAAGTCACTTCAGTCACGTCTGACTCTTTGCGATTCCATGGACTATAGCCCGCCAGGGTCCTCTGTCCATGGAATTCTCCAGGCAGGAATACTGGAGGGGGTTGCCATTCCTTTCTTCAGGGGATCTTCCCCACCCAGGGATCAAATCTGGGTCTCCTGCACTGCAGGAGATTCTTCACTATCTAAGCCACCAGGGAAGCCCTATGTCCTTAATGTTGGATCCCAGTCTAAATTTAAAAGTGGGTTGCTTCCTTACTAGAGGGGAGAGTCCTGAACTAGGTTATGTGTAAGCAGGGTCAGGCAGACAGACAATTGTTTCTACCACTTAGCACATACAGGACCTCCATAAAGAAGTGCCGAAGACCAAGTGACCAGCTGTGAGTAGATACATGAGTAGTCATGAACTGTACCCAGGCCAAGTCCTTAGGAAGGCCCTTGTAGGACTTCTTTGGAAGTATTACTAGGGCAACTTCAGTGTCAATATACGTATTTAAAGGGAGCACAATATTATAGCTTCCAAAAGTCAAGTCTGACTGATCTTGACCCTGATATTTATATGGGTCTAAAAACAAGACTCACCCTTGGCACTAAGATTAATGAGTCTGAGTACGTGTGGTTTTCATGAACTTGACAAATTATTCCTTCCTTGAAAGGTTAAAAACAAAAAGCAACAATCTGCCCATAAATCACAGAGAGTAGCAGTAAATAAAATGCTCTGACCCTCTTTTGTTATCATAATTTAAACTTGGTCATGAGTCCATAAAATGGACAGCTATTTCCCATGTCATCCCTTGCCTTCATGGCTCTGCCAATAATTTTTTTCTAACTGTCAAGTGAAATCTATGATGGAAAAATTCAATGTGACCCTATCGTGCCAGTGGGCTAAGACACTGAACCTTGAGTGCAAGAAGATGAATTCCCAGGCTCCATGAAACATATTGGCCTAAAAGCAATCCCTCCAAACCATGGTTCTCAGAGCCTTGCCATGACTATGGCATTGTCTTGTCCTTTTCAGGATCTTCAATATTTCAGGAGTCATTTACCTTGTTGATCTGTTCATGTCTGGGCCCCTGACAATGGGTTTGAGTCAGAGCCTGCACTGGGCAGTAGTGGTTATTGGTTTCCCATGGTCTTTCTTTTGACAACAAGGATGTAGCTGTTTGACCCAGGCCTTGGCCTTGCACTGTACCCCCATCTACCTTGTTCTGGGACTACAGACCTGACCCAAGTTTTCTCTCCTCTGGCTTAACGATTAATGCATGATTGGAACAGTAAAGAATGAGGCCTGGAGAGCAAGATGTGACGATGACAGACAGAGCCAGCTCTACAAGAGATGGAAGGACAGCTGTCTGCACTGAGCCAGTGGCTGCAGGCCCCGGAGTTCTGTAGTTGTTCTTTTCATCCTGTGAGCCTACCCAGTATTCCTCCCAGTAATGTGAGCCAACAAATTCCCTTTTCTTGCTAGTTTGCACTAGGTTTCTGATAACTAGAATTCTGCAGAATGTTTGGAAAGAAAGCAATCTTTTGGTCATAGTCCAAATGAGGATAAACAGCAAAAATCCTGGGCCGGTTATGAGGCTTTATGGGATGCTCCATTTAACAGGTCTCAGTTTTCCTACTTTGACAGGGCTATCTTGAAAGGTTCTTAACCTCTCTTCTGTGAGGTTTGTGGAGAGTAATATCCAAACAAGTTTTGATGACTGCTGGTTAATTGGCCCTGAGGTAGTGAATAATCAGATACAGAATTGATGACTTTGAAAAAAAAAGGAGTAATGGGCGGTGTCAATTACTTTACCAAGTAACTCATACCTCACAGAGCAAAGTGCTAAAGTAATTGAAACTAGAATCACAAAAATCACAGAACAGTAAGTGACACATGGGTTGGTCTGTATGCAAATAAGAGTCACCAATTCTGGTTAGCTGAAGCCAAAAAGACATGTATTAAATAGATATTAAGTAGTCTATGGCACTTAGTTGCAGAAGACAGTTTTGGTTCACAGCCTCCAAGATGGCGCCAATGCTGCCTACCACCTGAAGTTCACGGCCTTGTGTAGTCTTCTCCCCTTGAGTAACTTTCTTCTAACCAAAGACTCATAGCAACATTGAGGGAATATCAGTTCCATTATTTGGTTACAAAAGGTAAGACTTCTATTTTGCTAGCAGATTCTTTCTTCCCTTGGGTTTGGAGAAGTAAGTTGCCATATTGGGGAGGCTGAGCTGGCAAAGAACTCAGGGTGGCCTTCATCCAACAGTCAGTGAGGAAGTGAGGCCCTCAGTTCAACAGTCCTCAAGGAACCAAGTCCCGCCAACAACAATGTAAGTGAGCTTGGCAGTAGGACCTTCCCCAGTCAAGCCTTCAGTTAAGACCACAGTCCTGGCCAGCACACTGCTACCTCATGTGAGATCCTGAAGCAGACAGTCCAGCCTAGCTGAATCTGGATCCCTGTTCCATATAAACCATGAGAAAATGCATCTATATTGTTTTAAACTGCTGACTCTGGGAGTATTTTGTTCTGCAGTTGGAAATGATTAATATAAGACCTGAATAGGAAACTTCCCACGAGGGAAGGAAGGTACAGTCTAAATCCCAGTTTAAGAATGTTTTGCCATCTATAGGAATGGACAGTAGATTCAAGTTGCATGGGGTGGGGGGCAGGGAGAAGCAGCATAGGGTGACTGCTAATAGGTATAGGGTTTGGGGGCTAAAGAGTGACAAAAATGTTCTGAAATTGATTTTGGTGATGGTTACACGAAACTGTGAATATACTTAGAATTAATGAATTGCACATTTTGAATAGCTGAGTTGTATGGTATGAGTTATAGCTCAATAAAGTCATTACTAAAAAAATGACCGAGCTTCTATTAGATTTTGTTATTATATATATTTTCTCAGTGTAAATAAAATAGACATGTCACAAA